GAGGGGGGGTAGAGATAGGGAGAGAGGGGGGGGGGTAGAGATAGGGAGAGAGGGGGGGTAGAGATAGGGAGAGAGGGGAGGGGTCTAGAGGTGGAGCTGAAGGCGAGGGCGCAGTCCAAGTGTGTTAATTACTTATATATATTTAATTTCATTTAAAATGTTTTATTAGTTATTTTATTTTCTATCTACGTGACTTTACCAAAGGAACCAAGAATATGAATTCCTGCAGTCACGAAAGTTACAAGTCAAAACGTACTATTATTATTAACAGACAATGCATGCTACATTTTAATAAAGCGCTACTTTACTGCCAAAAAGAAATACTAAACAACGCAGAAGATTACTTTACATCGCAACACGCAAGATCCATAAAGAAGGCACCCCACTACGACCCATCGTATCCACGATCAACTCCCCTACCTATAGACTGGCCCGTTTTCTGTCAGATACCTTGCTGCCTTTCACTGGCAAGACCACCTCAGCAGTACTTAACTCAGCCCAATTGGTCTCTATGGTCAAAGACGTTGTACTGTCCCCTGACGATATCCTTGTCAGCTTCGATGTGGTCTCTTTGTTCACCTGGTGCGTAAACCAAAAACACATCGACACTGTGGGAGATGAACACGGCCGGCGGCGTGGGTTTTGTTGCCCACCTACCCACCCATGACCCCTTATAGACGCGACTCGCTCACAGCCCTTAGCCACGTGGCCTGACCCAGCTACCCCCCCCTCCATCATCTTCCCGTGTTTAGTGAACTCCAGCAGGGGGTGGGGGTGGTGGGCCAGGTCGCCTGCTCGCAACAGCTTCCGAGATCCATCGATCCACCTCCACAGCTCACAACCAGAAGGCGTGCCGCGGTCATTTTCGGAAGGACGGGACAGAACCTCTTCGTTGGAGCGACACGCTGGCGAGCTTAGGACGAGAAATTTGTTTTACCGTGCCGTTCGGTGGCCGATCCAGCGCCCAGCACCACCACCACCACCACCTCACCCCCTGCCGTTGGCCGTGCACGCTAAACTAAAACTAAACTTTTTTTATTGAACCAGATAAAAATCTTCTTTGGTTCTTTCGGTAAAGTCACGTAGAATGAGAATAAAATAATAAATTAATAAAATAACACGATAAAATTCTCACGACGTTTCGGCCACAACACAATTGGCCTTCAGGTGAAAGGAACAGACCTGTCGGGACGACAGAGCTTCAATCGACAGGTTTGTTCCTTTGACCTGAAGAAGGCCACTTGTGTTGTGGCCGAAACGTCGTGAAAATTTTTATTGTGTTATTTTATTAATTTATTATTTTACTCTCATTCTACGTGACTTTACCGAAAGAACCAAAGAAGATGAATCCTTGCAGTCACGAAAGCTTTAAATCGACAAGATAAAAATCGTACTGAGCTACGTAACTCTTTTTCAGAAGCGACCTGGCCATCACAATTGATAGCGCGACGAGGTGGCTCATCATCGCGTGGAAATGCGTGGCAGCCAAATACTCCGAAACGCGCGACGTTGATTCGAAACGTGGAGGAAAAAGTCGGAGGACCCGGAGCAAAATACACGCTACCATGGGGAGAGAGACACGCACACTCCAAATATACAGCAGGCGTCAAGGGTCAGGATCTAACCCATGCCCCCCCCTGTATACCGGTCGAGGCAGTTAGCATCAATCTTCATTTGGCGTTAACATCTCCCGAGCCACCGCGGCGCTCCGTGTTCAGGCGTAGGAGCAGCTATCCGTCAGCCCCCATCACCGGCCCTCTCAACCGCCCACCCAAGGCCCACGGCGATTCGTTTGGAGTGCTAAAATCGCGAGCCTGAACGCGCATGCATGTGTGCATGCCTATGTGTATGCCTGTGTGTGTGTGTATGCCTGTGTGTGTATGCTTGTGTGTACGCTTGTGTGTACGACTGTGTGTACGCCTGTGTGCCTGTGTGTGTGTACGCCTGTGTGTGTGTACGCCTGTGTGTGTACGCCTGTGTGTACGCCTGTGTGTACGCTTGTGTGTACGCCTGTGTGTGCCTGTGTGTATGCATGTGTGTGCCTGTGTGTACGCCTGTGTGCCTGTGTGTATGCATGTGTGTGTGCCTGTGTGTACGCCTGTGTGTGTGCCTGTGTATGTGTGTATGCCTGTGTGCACGCCTGTTGGGGCACGCCTGTGTGTATGCATGTGTGTACGTCGCGGAGCGGTCAGTGCGCTGCGCTACGAACCCGGCGACCCGAGTTCGATTCCCGCTCATGGCCAACACACAGTGATGATTATCTGAACCGGTCCGGAGCCTCCCCTAGGTCGACTCAGCCTAAAATGAGTAACCGGTGCGGTGTAAAATTGCCAGAGGAGACAAAGGCGGCCGGGCGTGGTGCTGGCCACCCACCCCCTCGTGTGCCGTGCCAGCCTTCATAGGTGTTCAGTAACAGCATGTCTATATCGGCATGTGCGTGCATGTGTATCTGTGCGAGTGTGTATCTACGTGCCTGTATATCTGCGTGTGCGTGCGTATCCGTGTGTCTATCGGCGTTTGCGTGCGTGCCTGTGTATCTTTGTATGTGTGTATATCTGTGTGTATATCTGTGTGTATATATCGGCGTGTAAAATTGCCACTGAGGAGACAAAGGCAGCCGGGCGTGGTGCTGGCCACCCACCCCCTCGTGTGCCGTGCCAGCCTTCATAGGTGTTCAGTAACAGCACTTGCCCTGGCAGTCTGTTAAGGCTACACGGGGTATATTTTTTGTGCGTGCGTGTGCGATCTGGACACATTGCCATCAGTGAGCTCCTCCGGCAGGCAAGGCTACATTTGGCTGGGTCATGCAGCCCCGCATGCCCAGCCAACGCATGCCCAAGCAACTTCTGTTTGGCTGCATAGAGGGGGCTGAACGTGAACGACACGGCCTGGTGAAGAGATGGAGCTGATGCGGTACGGGAGGATGTGGAGCTGAGTGGTCTTGCCAACGACTGGTACCAACAGTATCAAGATCGGCCTCTTTGGAGGAGGCTCGTGAAGGACGCTGCTACTGGGCAGTTGGAGGCAGTCGTCCTCCAGCAACAACGGAGGGCAGAGGAGCGACGCTCACAACAACGAGCAGAGCGCCGGGCGGTCATCTCAGTCGGTCAACCCACGGCACCTGCTGGGTCTGTCCCGAGACCTCCTGCCAGCGGGTGTTCGACACTTCACGTGGCCTTAACGTGCACATAGCCTGGCACAAGTGCCGTGGTGATGTCACCGGCACTTCGTGGCAAATGGCGGGTCTCGGTGCGTGTGCGTGACCACACCGCGTCAACGACACGGGGACGGTGGGTGGCTGAGTGTTTATTTACAAAAGGATTCAGCCGTGGACAATTTTAGAAGCCCACAGACATTGGTGGTTTTTTTTAACGCCGGGACGCAATGGCCGTGGCAGCCCCCCCCCCCACTCCCCCCCCCCCATCCCCGCCCCCCCCCCTATCCCCGCCCCAGCACAGGTGACCACTGCTACCGGGAGTCGAACCTATACGCCCCCCCCCCTCCCCCGTGGCGGTGAGCTGACTCGGAGGCGAGCTCGCTGCCCAGTGTCTGACACAGGTGAGGGTGAGTGTGTGTGTGAGAGGGTGAGTGTGTGTGAGACAGAGGGTGAGTGTGTGTGGGAGAGAGAGGGTGAGTGTGTGTGGGAGAGAGGGTGAGTGTGTGTGTGAGAGGGTGAGTGTGTGTGGGAGAGAGAGGGTGAGTGTGTGTGGGAGAGAGAGGGTGAGTGTGTGTGAGACAGAGGGTGTGTGTGTGAGAGGGTGAGTGTGTGTGGGAGAGAGAGGGTGAGTGTGTGTGGGAGAGAGAGGGTGAGTGTGTGTGAGACAGAGGGTGAGTGTGTGTGTGAGAGGGTGAGTGTGTGTGGGAGAGAGAGGGTGAGTGTGTGTGAGACAGAGGGTGAGTGTGTGTGTGAGAGGGTGAGTGTGTGTGGGAGAGAGAGGGTGAGTGTGTGTGGGAGAGAGAGGGTGAGTGTGTGTGAGACAGAGGGTGTGTGTGTGAGAGGGTGAGTGTGTGTGGGAGAGAGAGGGTGAGTGTGTGTGGGAGAGAGAGGGTGAGTGTGTGTGAGACAGAGGGTGAGTGTGTGTGTGAGAGGGTGAGTGTGTGTGGGAGAGAGAGGGTGAGTGTGTGTGAGACAGAGGGTGAGTGTGTGTGTGAGAGGGTGAGTGTGTGTGGGAGAGAGAGGGTGAGTGTGTGTGGGAGAGAGAGGGTGAGTGTGTGTGGGAGAGAGGGTGAGTGTGTGTGTGAGAGGGTGAGTGTGTGTGAGACAGAGGGCGAGTGTGTGTGGGAGAGAGAGGGTGAGTGTGTGTGGGAGAGAGTGAGTGTGTGTGTGTGGGAGAGAGGGTGAGTGTGTGTGGGAGAGAGTGAGTGTGTGTATGAGAGGGTGAGTGTGTGTATGAGAGAGAGTGTGAAAGAGAGGGTGTGTGTATGAGGGGGTGAGTGTGTGTATGAGAGGGAGAGTGTGTGAGAGAGAGGGTGAGTGTGTGTATGAGAGGGTGAGTGTGTGTGGAGAGAGGGTGTGTGTATGAGAGGGTGAGTGTGTGTATGAGAGGGTGAGTGTGTGTATGAGAGGGTGAGTGTGTGTATGAGAGGGTGAGTGTGTGGGAGAGAGAGGGTGAGTGTGTGTGGAGAGAGGGTGAGTGTGTGTGTGAGAGAGAGGGTGAGTGTGTGTATGAGAGAGAGGGTGAGTGTGTGTTTGAGAGGGTGAGTGTGTGTGGAGAGAGGGTGAGTGTGTGTGGAGAGAGGGTGTGTGTATGAGAGGGTGAGTGTGTGTATGAGAGGGTGAGTGTGTGTATGAGAGGGTGAGTGTGTATGAGAGGGTGAGTGTGTGTATGAGAGGGTGAGTGTGTGTGGAGAGAGGGTGAGTGTGTGTGGAGAGAGGGTGAGTGTGTGTGTGAGAGAGAGGGTAAGTGTGTGTATGAGAGAGAGGGTGAGTGTGTGTATGAGAGGGTGAGTGTGTGTATGAGAGGGTGAGTGTGTGTGGAGAGAGGCTGAGTGTGTGTGGAGAGAGGGTGAGTGTGTGTGGAGAGAGGGTGAGTGTGTGGGATTGTTTAGTGAAGGGGTGAGTATTCTTAAGAGGGTGCGTGGTTAGTATGCAGCTGAGCATTGCGAGTGGTGAGTGTGGGTGAGTGGTGAGTGTGGATGAGTGGTGAGTGCATCAATAAGCTGCCGAGTGTGGTGAGTACATCAGTAAGCTGGTGAGTATGGTGACAGCATCAGTAAGCCGGTGAGAGTGGTGAGGGTGGATGAGTGGTGAGCGCATCAGTAAGCTGGTGAGTGTGTTAAGTGCATCAGTAAGCTGGTGAGTGCAACACCCGTGAGCTGGTGAGTGCAACATCAGTAAGCCGGTGAGTGTGGTGAGTGCATCAGTAAGCTGGTGAGTATGGTGACAGCATCAGTAAGCCGGTGAGAGTGGTGAGGGTGGATGAGTGGTGAGCGCATCAGTAAGCTGGTGAGTGTGTTAAGTGCATCAGTAAGCTTGGGAGTGCAACACCCGTAAGCTGGTGAGTGCAACATCAGTAAGCCGGTGAGTGTGGTGAGTGCATCAGTAATCTGGTGAGTGTGGTGACAGCATCAGTAAGCTGGTGAGTGCAACACCAGTAAGCCGGTTAGTGCATCAGTAAGCTGGTGAGTGGGCATCGCGCGTCGGGGTGAAAAGGACGTCGGCCTTGGAGTTAACGAGGTAGACGGAGCACAGAGACAGCGCCAGCACCAGGCAGCCCACGGCCAGCGTCACGTGCTGCACGCACACGAGGGGCATGAAGACCGCGGCATCAAGACCACGGTGTCACAACTAACGGTGTCACGACCACAGCGCCACGACATCACAACGACATCACAACAACGACGTCACAACCGAAGCTGGCTGTGTGTGTAGCTGTGTGGGTGTACCGTTGGCTGGCTGTGTGTGTAGCTGTGTGAGTGTACTGCTCACTGGCTGTGTGTGTAGCTGTGTGAGTGTACCGCTGGCTGGCTGTGTGTGTAGCTGTGTGAGTGTACCGCTGGCCAGCTGTGTGTGTAGCTGTGTGGGTGTACCGCTGGCTGGCTGTGTGTGTAGCTGTGTGAGTGTACCGCTGGCCAGCTGTGTGTGTAGCTGTGTGGGTGTACCGCTGGCTGGCTGTGTGTGTAGCTGTGTGGGTGTACCGTTGGCTGGCTGTGTGTGTAGCTGTGTGGGTGTACCGCTGGCTGGCTGTGTGTGTAGCTGTGTGGGTGTACCATTGGCTGGCTGTGTGTGTAGCTGTGTGGGTGTACCGCTGGCTGGCTGTGTGTGTAGCTGTGTGAGTGTACTGCTCACTGGCTGTGTGTGTAGCTGTGTGAGTGTACCGCTGGCCGGCTGTGTGTGTAGCTGTGTGGGTGTACCGCTGGCCGGCTGTGTGTGTAGCTGTGTGGGTGTACCGCTGGGTGGCTGTGTGTGTAGCTGTGTGAGTGTACCGCTGGCCGGCTGTGTGTGTAGCTGTGTGGGTGTACCGCTGGCCGGCTGTGTGTGTAGCTGTGTGGGTGTACCGCTCACTGGCTGTGTGTGTAGCTGTGTGGGTGTACCGCTGGCTGGCTGTGTGTGTAGCTGTGTGAGTGTACCGCTGGCTGGCTGTGTGTGTAGCTGTGTGGGTGTACCGCTCACTGGCTGTGTGTGTAGCTGTGTGGGTGTACCGCTGGCTGGCTGTGTGTGTAGCTGTGTGAGTGTACTGCTCACTGGCTGTGTGTGTAGCTGTGTGAGTGTACCGCTGGCCGGCTGTGTGTGTAGCTGTGTGGGTGTACCGCTGGCTGGCTGTGTGTGTAGCTGTGTGAGTGTACCGCTGGCCGGCTGTGTGTGTAGCTGTGTGGGTGTACCGCTGGCTGGCTGTGTGTGTAGCTGTGCGAGTGTACCGCTGGCCGGCTGTGTGTGTAGCTGTGTGGGTGTACCGCTGGCCGGCTGTGTGTGTAGCTGTGTGGGTGTACCGCTGGCCGGCTGTGTGTGTAGCTGTGTGTCTATCCGCGTGTGTATCTAGCTCCGTGTCTAGCCACGTCTGTCTAGCTGTGTGTGCATCTTGCTGGCCGTGTGTGTAGCTGCGTGTGTCGCTGTGTATCTGGCTGGTCGTGCGTGTAGCTGGCCGTGTGTGTAGCTCATTGGCCATGTGCGTAGCCATGTTATATATCCGTGTGTGTAGCTGGCCGTGTGCGTATTCTTGTGTCTAGCCGCGTGGTTGTCTCGCCGCGTGTGTATCCGGCTGGCCGCGCGAGCGAGCGCCGCCCACCTCCAGCTGGGGGCTGGCGACCAGGAAGAGGCGCGCCCGCAGCTGCTTCCAGCGCGACTCGGTCCAGGTGGAGTACTCCCCCGAGTCGAAGTCATGCAGCTCGAAGGCGGGCGATACGGCGGGCGACAGGTGCGCCGTGCTGCGCGTGCAGAAGCCACCGCCCTCCTTGTCCCCCTCCTCCGCCCCCTTGCCCGGCGGCGACCCCATGACCCAGATGTACTTGTACATCTGGTGGGATGGAGAGGAGGTGGTGGTGGTGGTGGGTGTGGGGGGGGGGGAGGAGGAAGTGGAGGGAGGAGGATGAGGAGGGCGACACGAAGGGGGTGGAGGGAGTGTTAGGTGGTAATGGAGGGAGGCGACATGGAGGAGGAGGAAGAATAAGCGGAAGAAGAGAAGGAAGAGGAGAAAGAAGAGGAGGGGGGGGGGGGGGTGGACGAAGAGGCAGGTGGACACGCAGAGGTGGTGGCGCTGCTGTGGATTCGCTGTTGTTGTTGTTGTTGCCGTGTGGGCACCTCCTCGTCGGTGACGCCGTGCTTCTTGGGGTCGCGGCAAGCCGTCTCGTTGAGGGGCACCGTGGTGCCCGTGAGGTTGGCGAGGGCGTGGAGCACCACCTGCGTGATGTCGTTGTGGCTCCAGTTGTCGCTCACGCCCACGTAGAAGCTGAGCGCGTGACGGCCTGGGCACACGCACACGCACGCACGCACATGCCGGTATACACACACGCAGATACACAGTATGCATGCGTCGGTATACACGCACGCAGATATACACGCACGCAGATATACACGCACGCATACACACGCAGATATAAATGCAGATATACACTCAGATATACATGCACGCACGCACACGCTGAAATACACACGCATATATACACACGCACACAGATCCACACACAGATCCACACGCCGATATACACACGCACACAGATCCACACACAGATCCACACGCCGATATATACACACACACAGTTATACACACATACAAAGATACACAGGCACGCACACGCCGATACAGACACACAGATACACACGCACGCACATGCATATATACAGGCGCGTAGATACACACTCACACAGATACACACACATGCACGCACATGCCGATATACACACACATATATACGCCGATATATACACAGATATACACAAAGACTCCCCCCCTTGCTGTTAGCGAGCACCTATTAAGACCAGAACCGCACACAAGGGGGTGGGTGGCCAGCACCATGCCCGGCCGCCTTTGTCTCCCCAGTGGTGATGTTTACACACCGCACCAGGTACTCATTTGAGGCCGAGTCGAACTAGGGGAGGCTCAGGACCGGTTCAGATAATCGTCACCGGTGTTGGCCGTGAGCGGGCATCGAACTTGGGTCGCCGGATTGGCAGTGCAGCGCGCTAACCGCTACACCACCGCTCCCCACACACACAACATCGATAGACACGCCCACGTACATTTCATTCTCTGCTACGGCTAACATCAGCGGTGGCAATGCGAACGGTTCCTGGGCCTCCCTTAGGTCAACTCAACCTTAAATGAGTGCCCGGTGCTGTGCACAAACATGAGCAGCACTGAGGAGACAAAAGTCGGCTGTGGGGTATGTACGTATGTTGAACTTCTTTCGCACCGTACGTAGCGGAACCACGCTAATCGGAGGTGTGGGGGAAGGACAATAGACTAAACAGAAATAGCAGTTCTAAAGAAATGAGTTCTCAATTTACTATAGTGGTGTAGTGTATAGTGGTGTAGTGTATAGTCGTATAGTGTAGTATATAGTAGTGGAGAGTATAGTAGTGTAGTGAAGAGTAGTGTCTAGTGCAGTTTATGTATAACTTATTTCACACCGTACGTAGCCAACCGTGCGGGGGAAGGACAACAAGCTAAACACGCAAAAAGCCGTTCTCACAGAACCATTCCCCTGCATCCGCTCGCGGGCAGAGGAAGTGGTTGGGGGAGGGGGGAAGTAGGAAGTGAGGATTACCCAAAATGCCCTTGTTCTCTTTGTCCATGATGCTGCGCAGCCACGAGTTGTTGGCCCGAACGAGCAGTGTGTAGAGAAGACGCGCCACCTGCAAGACAAAGACAAAGGTTCCCCCGAGTGGCGCTTCACAGGCTGCTGGGGGCAAGTGCTGTTCGTAGAGAGTAGTGCCGATGGGAGGCCGGCACCGTGGCGCACGAGGGGGTGGATTGGACAGCACCACGTCCGGGCAGCCTTCGTCTCCCAAGGGTGGCGATTTTTACGCATCGCACCAGGTACGCAGCTGAGGCTGAGTCGACCTAGGGGAAGCCCAGGATCTGTTCAGACAATCGTCACTGGTGTTGGCCGTGAGCGGGAATCGTACTCGGGTCGTTGGGTTTGAAGAGCAGCGCGCTAACCGCTCCCCACGCAAGCACACAAAGACATCAATTCCCCCCCCCCCCCCCGCGTAACCTGCACATACTGTAGGTGCAAGAGCTGTCAGCGAGCCTATGGAGGCCGGCACGGCACACGAAAGAGGTGGGGTGTGACCAGCACCACGCCACCCGGCCGTCTTTGTATCCCCAGCGGCGATGTTTATTTACACCACACGCACCAGGCATTTTATTTGAGGCCCAAGTCGACCTCGGGGAGGCCGAGGCCAGGTGAAAATAATTGCCACCGATGTTGGCCGTGAAGAGTTAGAATGAAACGGAAGTTGCCAGGCTCACAACTGGGTGGGATAACCACGAGGTTCCCGTAGCGTGCACACCGATTAGCACGGTTGGCTACGTAGGGTGCGAAATAAGTTCGACATACACACACCCATGTGCTTGCCTGTGTGTGATCACGCACATAGAGGGGCCAGGTTTGTGTGCATGTGACTCTGTGTGCGCTGGTGTGCTTGGGTATCCCGGCATGCTCAGCTAACAGCATGCCCAAGCAGCTTCTGTTTGGCTGGACAGAGAGGGCTAAACGGGCGCGGCATGGGTTGGAGGGGATCTGAGTGGACTTGCCGATGTCCGGTACCAGCGGAGGAGGTTTGTGAAGGACACTGCTGGGCATTTGGAGGCAGTTGCCCTCCAGCAACAATGGAGGGCAGAGGAGCGATGCTCACAACCACGAGCGGAGCGCCAGGCAGCTAAAATGCAGCAAGTTCACACAGTGGGAGTACAGCTGGTGGTGCATCTACCGGTCATCTCAGTCAGCCAACCCATGGCACCTGCTGGGTCTGTCCCAAGACCTCCCGTCAAGATCGGCCTCTGTTTAGAAGGTTCGTGAAGGACGCTGCTGTACGTACGTGTGATGGACTGAGTGTGTGTATGTTGACTGTGTGTACTGACTGTGTATGTTGACTGTGTGTATGTATGTTGACTGTGTGTGTGTATGTTGACTGTGTGTGTGTGTATGTTGACTGTGTGTGTGTATGTTGACTGTGTGTGTGTGTATGTTGACTGTGTGTGTGCATGTTGACTGTGTGTGTGCGTGTTGACTGCGTGTGTGTGTATGTTGACTGCGTGTGTGTGTATGTTGACTGCGTGTGTGTGTGTGTTGACTGCGTGTGTGTATGTTGACTTGTGTATGTTGACTGTGTGTGTGTATGTTGACTGCGTGTGTGTGTATGTTGACTGCGTGTGTGTGTATGTTGACTGCGTGTGTGTGTATGTTGACTGTGTCTATGTATGTAGACTGTGTGTATGTATGTTGACTGTGTGTGTGTATGTTGACTGTGTGTGTGTATGTTGACTGTGTGTGTGTATGTTGACTGTGTGTGTATGTTGACTGTGTGTGTGTATGTTGACTGTGTGTGTGTATGTTGACTGTGTGTGTGTGTATGTTGACTGTGTGTGTGTATGTTGACTGTGTGTGTGTATGTAGACTGTGTGTGTATGTTGGCTGTGTGTGTGTGTATGTTGACTGTGTGTGTGTATGTTGACTGTGTGTGTGTATGTTGACTGTGTGTGTGTGTATGTTGACTGTGTGTGTGTATGTAGACTGTGTGTGTATGTTGGCTGTGTGTGTATGTTGACTGTGTGTGTATGTTGACTGTGTGTGTGTATGTTGACTGTGTGTGTGTATGTTGACTGTGTGTGTGTGTATGTTGACTGTGTGTGTGTGTATGTTGACTGTGTGTGTGTATGTAGACTGTGTGTGTATGTTGGCTGTGTGTGTGTGTATGTTGACTGTGTGTGTGTATGTTGACTGTGTGTGTGTATGTTGACTGTGTGTGTGTGTATGTTGACTGTGTGTGTGTATGTAGACTGTGTGTGTATGTTGGCTGTGTGTGTGTGTATGTTGACTGTGTGTGTGTATGTTGACTGTGTGTGTGTATATGTTGACTGTGTGTGTATGTTGACTGCATGTATGTTGACTGAGTGTGTGTGCATTGACTGTGTGCATTGACTGTGTGTGTGTGCATTGACTGTGTGCGTTGACTGTGTGTGTGCGTTGACTGTGTGTGTGCATTGACTGTGTGTGTGCGTTGACTGTGTGTGTGCGTTGACTGTGTGTGTGCATTGACTGTGTGTGTGCGTTGACTGTGTGTGTGCGTTGACTGTGTGTGTGCATTGACTGTGTGTGTGCATTGACTGTGTGTGTGCGTTGACTGTGTGTGTGCGTTGACTGTGTGTGTGCGTTGACTGAGTGTGTGCGTTGACTGTGTGTGTGCGTTGACTATGTGTGCGTTGACTATGTGTGCGTTGACTGTGTGTGTGTATGTTGACTGTGTGTGTGTATATTGACTGCGTGTGTATATGTTGACTGCATGTGTGTGTGTTGACTGAGTGTGTGTGCATTGACTGAGTGTGTGTGCATTGACTGAGTGTGTGTGTATGTTGACTGTGTGTGTGCGTTGACTGTGTGTGTGTGTATGTTGACTGTGTGTGTGCGTTGACTGTGTGTGTGCGTTGACTGTGTGTGTATGTTGACTGCGTGTGTGCGTTGACTGTGTGCGTTGACTGTGTGTGCGTTGACTGTGTGTGTGTTGACTGTGTGTGTGCGTTGACTGTGTGTGTGTGTATGGCGACTGTGTGTGTGTGTATGTTGATTGTGTGTGTGTGTATGTTGACTGTGTGTGTGTATGTTGACTGTGTGTGTATGTTGACTGCGTGTGTGTGTTGACTGCGTGTGTGTGTTGACTGCGTGTGTGTTGACTGCGTGTGTGTGTTGACTGCGTGGGTGTATGTTAACTGTGTGTGTATATGTTGACTGTGTGTGTATGTTGACTGTGTGTGTGTATGTTGACTGTGTTTGTGTGTGTTGACTGTGTGTGTGTATGTTGACTGTGTGTGTGTATGTTGACTGTGTGTGTGTACGGGGGACTGTGTGTGTGTATGTTGACTGTGTGTGTGTATGTTGACTGTGTGTGTGTTGACTGTGTGTGTATGAATGTATGTATGTTGACTGTGTGTGTGTGTGTTGACTGCGTGTGTGTATTTTTTTTATTTAAAGCTTTCGTGACTGCAGTAATTCATATTCTTAGTTCTTTCGGTGAAGTCACGTTGAAGGGAAACAACAAAATAATAAAATATATATAAAACAATAAAAATTCTCACGACGTTTCGACCATAACACAAACGGTCGTCTTCAGGTGTTATGGTCGAAACGTCGTGAGAATTTTAATTGTTTTATATATTTTATTATTTTGTTGTTTCCCTTCAACGTGACTTTACCTAAAGAACTAAGATTATGCGTGTGTGTATGTTGACTGCGTGTGTGTATGTTGACTGCGTGTGTGTATGTTGACTGTGTGCGTGTGTACGGGGGACTGTGTGTGTATGTTGACTGTGTGTGTGTATGTTGACTGCGTGTGTGTGTACCGGGGACTGTGTGTGTGTATGTTGACTGTGTGTGTGTATGTTGACTGTGTGTGTGTATGAATGTATGTATGTTGACTGTGTGTGTGTGTTGACTGCGTGTGTGTATGTTGACTGCGTGTGTGTATGTTGATTGCGTGTGTGTATGTTGACTGTGTGTGTGTGTATGTTGACTGTGTGTGTGTGTATGTTGACTGTGTGTGTGTATGAATGTGTGTATGTTGACTGTGTGTGTATGAATGTATGTATGTTGACTGTGTGTGTGTGTTGACTGCGTGTGTGTATGTTGACTGCGTGTATGTATGTTGACTGCGTGTTTGTATGTTGACTGCGTGTATGTATGTTGACTGTGTGTGTGTGTATGTTGACTTTGTGTGTATGTATGTTAACTGTGTGTATGTGTATGTTGGACTGTGTCTGTGTATGTGGGACTGTGTGTGTGTACGTGGGACTGTGTGTGTGTACGTGGGACTGTGTGTGTGTATGTTGACTGTGTGTATGTTGACTGCGTGTGTGTATGTTGACTGCGTGTGTATATGTTGACTGCATGTGAGTATGTTGACTGTGTGTGTGTGTGTATGTTGACTGTGTGTGTGTACGTGGGACTGTGTGTGTGTACGTGGGACTGTGTGTGTGTACGTGGGACTGTGTGTGTGTGTGTGTATGTTGACTGCGTGTGTGTATGTTGACTGCGTGTGTGTGTGTGTTGACTGTGTGTGTGTGTATGTTGACTTTGTGTGTATGTATGTTAACTGTGTGTATGTGTATGTTTACTGTGTCTGTGTATGTGGGACTGTGTGTGTGTACGTGGGACTGTGTGTGTGTGTACGTGGGACTGTGTGTGTGTATGTTGACTGTGTGTGTGTATGTTGACTGCGTGTGTATATGTTGACTGTATGTGAGTATGTTGACTGTGTGTGTGTGTATGTTGACTGTGTGTGTACGTGGGACTGTGTGTGTGTACGTGGGACTGTGTGTGTGTATGTTGACTGTGTGTATGTTGACTGCGTGTGTGTATGTTGACTGCGTGTGTGTATGTTGACTGTGTGTGTGTATGTTGACTGTGTGTGTATGTTGACTGTGTGTGTGTATGAATGTATGCATGTTGCCTGTGTGTGTATGTTGACTGTGTGTGTGTGTGTTGACTGCGTGTGTGTATGTCGACTGTGTGTATGTATGTTAACTGTGTGTATGTGTATTGACTGTGTGTGTGTATGTTGACTGTGTGCGTGTACGTGGGACTGTGTGTGTGTACGTGGGACTGTGTGTGTGTACGTTGACTGTGTGTGTATGTTGACTGTGTGTGTGTGTTGGAAGTTATGTATGTTGCCTTTGTGTGTGTATTTTAACTGTGTGTGTGTGTTGACTGCGTGTGTGTATGTTGGCTGTGTGTGTGTGTATGTTGACTGTGTGTATGTTGACTGTGTGTGTAATCGTGCGTATGCACACACAGTGGTGGTGTTGGCCTGAACGTCCATTATTGTCTCTTGGTCTCCGCCTGCTTGCAGGTACAGCGCCCTCGCCACGCCTGTGGCGAGCTCCGTCAGGTTCTAGAGGACACAAAGACAAAGATCCCCCGTGTAGCCTTTAGCAGACTGTTGGGGCAAGTGCTGTTAGTGAGTGGCACCTAAGAAGGCCGGCACGGCCACCCCTGTCTCGTGTCTTAATCTCCCCCATCCGCGTATATCTCTCCCCTGTCCCTGCGTCCCACCCCCTGTCCCCCGTGTCTCACTTTGTCCCTTGTCTGTCTCTCCCTTGTCCCACCCCCATCACTGTGTCTCACCTTCAACCCCGTGTCTCTGTCTCTACCCCATTCCCCTGCGTCTCTCCCCCGTTCCAGTGTCTCTCCCGTCTGTGTCCCACCCCTGTCCCCGTGTCCCACCCCTGTCCCGTGTCTGTCTTTCCCCGGTCTCCGTATCTCTCCCCGGTCCCCGTGTCCCACCCCCTTCTCCGTGTCTCCCTTTGTCTCGGGTCTCCCCTTGTCCCGTGTCTTCGTCACTCCCTCGTCCCACCCCCTATCACCGTGTCCCACCCCTGTCCCCATGTCTCTTCCCGTCCCCGTGTCCCACCCCCGTTCACGTGTCTCTCCCACGTCAACATGTCTCTCCCCTGTCCCACCCCCATCCCCATGCCTCCCTTTGTCCCCTGTCTCTGTCTCTCCCGTGTCCCACCCCGTCCCCGTGTCCCTCCCCCGTCCCCGTGTCCCACCCCCACATCCATGGATCCAACCCCCTGTCCACCCGTCCCCGAGTCCCTCCGTTGTCCACGCGTGTCTCACCTTGGCGATGTCGCTGGGGTAGGTGAGCTCCTCCTCTGGCGTGAGCCCCTCCGGGAAGCTCAGCTTAATGTTGGGCGCCACATCGTACACGCTGTGGTAGTACCTGCACGCACACCACGCACACGTGACACGAACACAACACAGGTGTGACGCGCGGCACGCCCGCATGCCTCGCGCACGACACACACACACGCGCGCATGCGCGCGCAAACGACATACACACACGTGCAGAAACACACGGGTGACACACACGCACGTGCCGCACAGATGACACGTGTAAAAACAGACACACACACTGCTATTAGGAGTGGGAGTAGTGTAGGAGATGTGGTCTAGTAGTAGTAGTAGTTCAGTAGTAGCATAGTAGTAGTGTAGTGGTATAAGCGCGGTGCTACAAGTAGTGTAGTAGTAGTGTCGTGGTGTCGGTGCGGTGCTACTAGTGGTGTAGTAGTAGTGTGGTGGTGTCGGTGCGGTGCTACTAGTAGTGTAGTAGAAGTGTGGTGGTGTCGGTGCGGTGCTACTAGTAGTGTAGTAGTAGTGTGGTGGTGTCGGTGCGGTGCTACTAGTAGTGTAGTAGTGTGGTGGTGTCGGTGCTACTAGTAGTGTAGTAGTAGTTTGGTGGTGTCGGTGCGGTGCTACTAGTAGTGTAGTAGTAGTGTGGTAGTGTCGGTGCTACTAGTAGTGTAGTAGTAGTGTGGTGGTGTCGGTGCGGTGCTACTAGTAGTGTAGTAGTAGTGTAGTGGTGTCGGTGTGGTGCTACTAGCATTATAGTAGTAGTGTGGTGGTGTCGGTGCGGTGCGTACTGGTTGTAGAAGGCGGTGCGGTGCTCTGCCAGCACCACACCACTCAGGTTCCTGTGCCGCAGGAAGCGCTGCAGCGACGAGGGCGGCAGCGGCTGCTCGGGGTCAGGGGTCGCCACGGTGAGGCCGCCCGCTCGCAGGGCCTCCACCATGGACCACACCTAAACCGACAGCCATAATAACGCCAACATCGACGTCATCAACATCATCATCATCAACGATAACATCAACTTTTATAACATCAACGATAACAATAATATCGATAACATCAACATCATTTACGTCATGAACAACGTCAACATCGATAACATCAACAACGATAACATCAAAATCATCGACGATAACATCAACATCATCATCATCAACGATAACATCAACTTTTATAACATCAACGATAACAATAACATCGATAACAGCAACATCATCATCAACGATAACATCGATTACATCAAAATCTACGTCATCAAAACCATCGACGATAACATCAACATCATCATCAATAACATCAACATCATTTACGTCATCAACAACGTCAACATCGATAACATCAACAACGATAACATCAACAACATCAACATCGGCCTCTGTGGAGGTGGAGGAGGCTCGTGAAGGACGCGACACTGGGGCAGTTGGAGACAGTCGCCCCTCCAGCAAAAATGAAGGACAGAAGAGTGATGCTCACAACAACGAGCAGAGTGCCGGGCGGCTAAAATGGGGGGGCACAGGTGGTGCATCTGGCAGCCATCTCAGTCAGTCAACCCATGGCACCTGGGTCTGTCCCATAACCTCCTGCACCTAGCCTGGCACAGTGGATGGCACAGGTGGTGCATCAGCCAGCCATCTCAGTCATTCAACCCATGGCACCTGGGTCTGTCCCATAACCTCCTGCACCTAGCCTGGCACATTAGGTGGCACAGGTGGTGCATCTGGCAGCCATCTCAGTCAGTCAACCCATGGCACCTGGGTCTGTCCCATAACCTCCTGCACCTAGCCTGGCACAGTGGGTGGCACAGGTGGTGCATCTGGCAGCCATCTCAGTCAGTCAACCCATGGCACCTGGGTCTGTCCCATAACCTCCTGCACTTAGCCTGGCACAGTGGGGGGCACAGGTGGTGCATCAGCCAGCCATCTCAGTCAGTCAACCCATGGCACCTGAGTCTGTCCCATAACCTCCTGCACCTAGCCTGGCACAGTGGGTGGCACAGGTGGTGCATCTGCCAGCCATCTCGGTCAGTCAACCGATGGCACCTAGGGTGTGAGTGAGTGAAGGAGTGGCAAGAGCGAGTGTGAGTGAGTATGCGTGAGTGATGCGAGTCAGTGGTGAGGGTGAGTGATTGGTGCGAGTGATAAAGTGAGTGAGTGGTGAGTGACCGAGTGGTGAGTGAGTGTTGAGAGAAAATTAGTGGTGAGAGTGAGTGTAAGTGGTGTGAGTGAGTGAGTGAGTGGTGAGTGAGCGGTGAGTGAGTGGTGAGTGATTGGCGAGTGGTGCGAGTGTGAGCGAATGAACGAATGAGCGAATGAACGAATGAGCGAATTAACGAATGAGCGCGTGGTGAGTGAGCGAGTGATGAGAGTGAATGGTGAGTGTGGGTGAGTGGTGAGTGGGTGGTGAGCGAGTGGTGAGTGGGTGGTGAGTGAGTGGTGAGCGAGTGGTGAGTGAGTGGTGAGCAAGTGGTGAGCGAGTGGTGAGTGATGAGTGCTGCAAGTGTGAGCGAATGAGCGAATGGGCGCGTGGTGAGTGAGCGAGTGATGAGAGTGAATGGTGAGTGTGGGTGAGTGGTGGGTGAGTGGTGAGTGAGTGGTGAGAGAGTGGTGAGCGATTGTTGAGTAATTGGTCAGTGAGTAGTGAGTGAGTGGTGAGTGAGTGGTGAGATTGAGTGGTGAGTGAGTGGTGAGTGAATGAGTGGTGAGTGAATGAGTGGTGAGTGGTGAGAGTGAGTGGTGAGTAAGTAGTGACTAAGTTGTGAGTGAGTGGTGAGTAATTGTTGAGTGAGTTGTGAGAGTGAGTGGTGAGTGAGTGGTAGGTAAGTGGTGACTAAGTGGTGAGTGAGTGGTGAGTAATTGTTGAGTGAGTTGTGAGAGTGAGTGGTGAGTGAGTGGTGAGTAAGTGGTGACTAAGTGGTGAGTGAGTGGTGAGTAATTGTTGAGTGAGTTGTGAGAGTGAGTGGTGAGTGAGTGGTGAGTAAGTGGTGACTAAGTGGTGAGTGAGTGGTGAGTAATTGTTGAGTGAGTTGTGAGAGTGAGTGGTGAGTGAGTGTGTTGCTCGTACGGATTCGTTGACTTGGGGGACCTGCCGAGAGATGGGGTCGCTGTGCGCCCACACCGTGGCTCCGTCACGCAGCCCCACCTAGACAGCCACCACGTCAACAACAACCACAACCACCATGTCAACAACCACAACCACGTCAAGCACAAACACCATAACCACGTCAACTACGTCAACCACAACAACCACCACAAATACTACGTCAACCACAACCACCACGTCATGGACAACAAAAACGTCAACCACAACCACCACGTCAACCACAATAACAACCACAACAACCACGTCAACAACTACACCACTACTACTACTACCACCAGCTACCCATCGAAACGATGGCGGCCAGCCTGAAATGTATCGCTGTGATGTCTCCTTGCAATTTGTGGATCGGGAATTGCATCGTTAAACGTTGAATGCCCGTTTAGTGAATGTCGCCGCTATAAATTGGCACACGAAGATAGGCCACACAGCCTGCCGGAGGCTACACGTGAGACCTCTGTCCGTTGCGTGTGGGAGGCTGCACCTGGCTGATCTCGAGGAAGGAGTGGATGCTGTCCAGGGACAGGAACGACTTGTTGCGCATGATGTCGTACACGAACCGCGAGCTGCCAATGTAGTCAAACGCCTCCTGTTCACGGTAGGGGGGCGGAGGGGGCACGTGGTCACAACAACAGCCACCCCACACGCCGATAGGCACACGCGCGCACACGCACCGAGACACGCGCGCGCACGCACCGAGACACGCACGCACACGCACCGAGACACGCACGCACACACGCACCGAGACACGCACGCACACGCACCGTGTGTATATCGTGCGGTTGCGGTTGACGAAGGCGGCGGTGTGACTGTGCACGTCGTTGCGATGACGGTGGTGACAGCGGTGGTGGTGACTGTGGTGGTGGTGGTGACTGTGGTGATGTGACTGTGCGGGTCGTTGCGATGACAGTGGTGACAGCGGTGGTGGTGACAGCGGTGGTGGTGACTGTGGTGGTGGTGACTGTGGTGATATGACTGTGCGGGTCGTTGCGATGGGAGTGGTGACAGCGGTGGTGGTGACTGTGGTGAGGTGACTGTGCGCGTCGTTGCGATGGGAGTGGTGACAGCGGTGGTGGTGACTGTGGTGGTGTGACTGTGCACGTCGTTGCGATGACAGTGGTGACACCGGTGGTGGTGACTGTGGTGAGGTGACTGTGCGCGTCGTTGCGATGACAGTGGTGACAGCGGTGGTGGTGGTGACGGCGGTGCCGGTGGTGGCGAGGGTGGCACCGCACCCCCTGCAGGAACAGGAACATGACGTTGCGGGGCAGCGAGCGTGACGCGTTGCCCAGCGCGGCGAGGGCCTCCGCGGCCGCCAGCAGCGTGACGAAGCCGGAGGCGGCGCTGTCAGCGCCCGACGTCACGTTCCAGAAGAACGAGCGGCTGTCCAGCTGCACACCCGCGCGAGGTCCACACGCGGGTGAGCGTGGAGTGCAGCAGTGTGTGTGCAGAATGGGGGGGCAGCAGTGAGTGCAGCACGGGGTGCAAGCTCGGGGTGCAGCTGCGTGGAAAGGACGCGGTGCAGCACCAGCGATGATTATCTGAACCGGTCCTTGGGCCTCCCCTAGCCTCAAATGAGAACCTGGTGCGGTGAGTAAACATCGCCACTGGGGAGACAAAGGTGGCCAGGCATGGTGCTGGCCACCCACCCCCTCGTGTGCTGTGCCAGCCTTCATAGGTGCTACTCGCTAACAGCCCTTGCCCCAACAGTCTGTTAAGCCTATACTGGATTTGTGTCTTTGTAGTGGTGTGTAATCATACCAGTGTATAATCATAGTGGTGTGTATAGTAGTGTATAATTGTAGTGATATCACCGATGTCATCACCGATGTCATCACCGATGTCATCACCGATGTCATCACCGATGTCATCACCGATATCATCACCGATGTCATCAACGATGTCATCACCGATGTCACCGTGTGGTACTGGCCCTAGAGAAGCACGGCGTGACCGATGCACTTACATCACGGACATGTAGCGACATCGTGGATGTCACTTTGGTAATGCCGGCTCTAGCGAGGCACGGCATGCGATGCATCACCATCGCAGACACCCCGTACATGTGGGTGTAGTACCAGCCCTAGAGGGGGCTCGGTGAGCGCTGGGTCAGAGCGCTCAGTTGCACCACGCGTGGCGTGCAGTGCTGACTCCGACAGGAGGGAGTGTGAGAGTGTCAGCCATGGGATGATGAGGTTACCCCAGGCAATGGCACTCTGGTTGACCCTGGAAGGAAGGCACGTGACAAGAAAGATCTACACAGAGGCCCCAAGTGGGGGGTAGGGGTGGTCACGTGTTGGGGCGAGATCCTGCTGGAGGGCACAATAAGGTGGTCGTGGCCAAGGGCAGGGCCAGCGACGGCCAGCGAGGATATAAATGGGGTTCAGCGTTGCTGTTGTCATCTGAAGATCGACATTCTACGTCCAAGAAAAAGTCACCAACATGTGGACCTGGACCCAAGCCGGGGTCCGGTCCGTTGTAGCTACTCCCAGTGAAATTAGTGTAGTTAGCCTGGTGGTCCACCTCCATAGGGTGTAGTTAGCCTGGTGGTCCACCACCATAGTGTGTAGTTAGCCTGGTGGTCCACCACCATAGTGTGTAGTTAGCCTGGTGGTCCACCACCATAGTGTGTGGTTAGCCTGGTGGTCCACCACCATAGTGTGTAGTTAGCCTGGTGGTCCACCACCATAGTGTGTGGTTAGCCTGGTGGTCCACCACCAGAGTGTGTAGTTAGCCTGGTGGTCCACCACCATAGGGTGTAGTTAGCCTGGTGGTCCACCACCATAGTGTGTGGTTAGCCTGGTGGTCCACCACCATAGTGTGTGGTTAGCCTGGTGGTCCACCACCATAGTGTGTAGTTAGCCTGGTGGTCCACCACCATAGGGTGTAGTTAGCCTAGTGGTCCACCACCATAGGGTGTAGTTAGCCTGGTGGTCCACCACCATAGGGTGTAGTTAGCCTGGTGGTCCAGCACCATAGTGTGTGGTTAGCCTGGTGGTCCACCACCATAGGGTGTAGTTAGCCTGGTGGTCCACCACCATAGTGTGTAGTTAGCCTGGTGGTCCACCACCATAGTGTGTGGTTAGCCTGGTGGTCCACCACTATAGTGTGTAGTTAGCCTGGTGGTCCACCTCCATAGGGTGTAGTTAGCCTGGTGGTCCACCACTATAGTGTGTGGTTAGCCTGGTGGTCCACCACTATAGTGTGTAGTTAGCCTGGTGGTCCACCACCATAGTGTGTAGTTAACCTGGTGGTCCACCACCAGAGTGTGTAGTTAGCCTGGTGGTCCACCACCATAGTGTGTAGTTAGCCTGGTGGTCCACTACCATAGTGTGTAGTTAGCTTGGTGGTCCATCACCATAGTGTGTAGTTAGCTTGGTGGTCCACCACCATAGGGTGTAGTTAGCCTGGTTGTCCATCACCATAGTGTGTGGTTAGCCTGGTGGTCCATCACCATAGTGTGTAGTTAGCCTGGTGGTCCACCACCATAGGGTGTAGTTAGCCTGGTGGTCCACCACCAGAGCTTGTAGTTAGCCTGGTGGTCCACCACCATAGTGTGTGGTTAGCCTGGTGGTCCACCACCATAGTGTGTAGTTAGCCTGGTGGTCCACCACCAGAGTGTGTAGTTAGCCTAGTGGTTCACCACCATAGGGTGTAGTTAGCCTGGTGATCCACCACCATAGGGTGTAGTTAGCCTGGTGGTCCACCACCATAGTGTGTAGTTAGCCTGGTGGTCCACCACCATAGTGTGTGGTTAGCCTGGTGGTCCACCACCATAGGGTGTAGTTAGCCTGGTGGTCCACCACCATAGGGTGTAGTTAGCCTGGTGGTCGACCACCATAGTGTGTGGTTAGCCTGGTGGTCCACCACCATAGTGTGTAGTTAGCCTGGTGGTCCACCACCATAGTGTGTAGTTAGCCTGGTGGTCCACCACCATAGTGTGTAGTTAACCTAGTGGTCCACAGCCATAGGGTGTAGTTAGCCTGGTGGTCCACCACCATAGTGGTGTAGTTAGCCTGGTGGTCCACCACCATAGTGGTGTGTATATTGGGGTGCTGCATCTCACCCGTGCAGCTGCTATGATGATATCCTTGTCGGGTTTTCCCTTCATCGATTGGTTGATCGGTTGCAGAACCCCCAGAACGTTATAGTCGCCCAGTGAATCACACACCAACTCTACACGCCACACAAAGCATCATCAGCATCTTCATCATCATCAGCATCTTCATCATCAACAGAATCATCAGCAGCAGAATCATCAGCAGCATTATCATCATCATGAGCAACATCAACGTATCGCATCTCTTGCTTTCAGGTGCGCTTTTGCGGCCGTCTGGAATGCTCTTCCTTCCGATATTAGAAAGCCAATGGAGCTACGCACATTGGAATCTAGATTGAAAACTCATTTCCTAAGAACTGCTTTTTGTATTTAGTTTGTTGTCCTTTCCCCGCACCTTTGATTAGTATGGTTTGCCACGTACGGTGCAAAATAAGTTCAACATACACTACACTATACACTACATTACTGTCCATTACAGTAAAACCTTGGATTGCGAGCATAATTCGTTCCAGAAACGTGTTTGTAATCCAAAGCACTCGTATATCAAAGCACTCGTATATCAGTTGTGATCAGGTGACGCTCGGCAGACAAAGCGTATACACGTACACTGCTCGTATTGCAAGACCTCTCGCTCGTTTATCAAATTAATATTTAGTTAAAATTTTTGCTCCTCCTGCAAAACACTCGCAGACCAAGTTACTCGCAATCCAAGGTTTTACTGCACATTACACCACGAAACGAAATTGAAAACTAACTTCTTTAGAACTGCTTTTTGTGTTTAGTTTCTTGTCCCTTCCCCCGCACCTTCCATCAGCGTGGTTTGGCTACGTATGGCGTGAAAGAAGTTCAACACACACACGCAAGCATAATCCACGTTCCATCAACTGCCCAATGACTTCATTCCCACGCCATCAGCGTCTTTTCAATGGTCCTGCGCTGCCACGCTCAATCTCGCTCAAGCCACAGAAGCTGATGGCCCATCGCTCCATCTCCAAGGTAGATGGGCCCAACTTGGAAGGGCTCTCTCTTTCCGTTGCCAATGTGTCAAGAGTCTCCAACCCACCGGCCATGTACGTTGAACTTCTTTCGCACAGCACGTAGCCGACCGTTCTAATCGGAGGTGCGGGGCCATCATCCCATGGGCGGCAGCTGTGGCGGCTACGCTGCTGCACGTGGCAGCTGTGGTCCGGCGCCGTGGAGGCAGCAGCGAGGGTCGGTGGATCACACACGGATGGTGTGAAACTGTGGGTCTATGCGAGTTTGTCGGTCTCTGCATGAGTCTATGGGTCTCTATGCGAGTCCGTGGGTCTATAAACGAGTCTATGGGTCTGTACATGAGTCTATGGGTCACAATGTGAGTCCGTGGGTCTCTAAATGAGTCTCTGGGTCTCTATGCGAGTCTGTAAAGTTGGACATGAGTCTATGGGTTACTATATGAGTCCGTGGGCCTCTAAATGGGTCTATGGGTCACTATGCGAGTCCATGGGTCTCTAAGTGAGTCTATGGATCTCTATGTGAGTCTATGGATCTCTATGCGAGTCTGCACAATTGTACATGAGTCTATGCATCTCTGTGAGTCTGTGGGTGTCTGCACGAGTCTATGGGTCTCCATGTAAGACTTGCATCTGTATACGATTCTCTGCATCTCCCGGTAACTGTCAGCATTGACATAAGTCTACGAGTCTCCATTTGAGTCTGTACATGAGTCTGTGCATCTCCATGCGAGTCTGTGGGTCTCTAAATGAGTATATGGATCTCCATGTGACTCTGTGGTCTGTACATGAGTTTATGCATCTTTCGGTGACTCTAAGTCTAGCCATGAGTCTATGGGTCTCTGTGTGTCTGTCAATCTGAACATTAGTCTACGAGTCTCTCTGATAGTCTATGGGTCTCTAAATGAGTCTATAGGTCTCTACATCATGAGTGTAATGGGTCTCTAAACAAGTCTATGGGTCTCTATGCGAGTGCATTGGTTTCTAAATAACCCCATGGGGTCCCTCTCATTCCACTCGCTCGCTCGATCCGCTCGCTCCACTCAAGTCACCCACCAGGGTTGAGGTTGTTGAAGAGATGCGAGCGACGCATGCAGGTCACGGTGTCGCGCACCCCGTGCATGTGAGACTTGAGCTGAATCGCGCACAGAGGGTACTCCACCTTCTTTGACGTGTCGTTGCTTGGCACATTGTGATTCCTCACGCACTGGGGCGTGGTAGGGGAGGTGGGAGGCATCGGGAAGAGAGGGGAGGTGAGGGGGGGGGGGGTTAGTGAGACATGGGGACGAGACGGGAGACCCGGGGAGGAGAGAGAAGACACGGGGAAGAGTTGGGAGACACGGTGAGAAGTGGGGAGATGTCGGGAGACACGGGGAGAAGAGGCAAGGCATGAGGAGGAGTAGGGAGACACGGGGAGGAGGAATAGTAGTAGTAGGTTTGGCAGGCACGGGGAGATGCGCATGAGGATGAGTGCGAAACCACATGGGGAGGACGACGCGGGGAGAGAAGGGGATAAACAGGAGCCATAGGCGATGCGTGAGCAGGTCAAGAGAGGCGTGTCACGTGTCCGAGATCTACCGAGGCCGACAGAGACACGCACTTTGAGCACGACAACTTCTCCTGGCGAGCCAGGGGGGTTACGGGGGGGGGGGGGGGGAAGCGGGGGGTGGAGACTCCTCCTCGACGCCCATCGCCCACGGGCGACGTTTGCGTGATCCGCCGACCCTCGCAGCGCCCACAGCGCGGGGGGATTACAGGCCATGTGCAGCGTGCGCCGCCGCCGCCGCCGCCGCCCCGGTGTTGTGTGGAACTCTGACAACCGGTGGTGGTGGTGGGGTAGTGGTGGTGGTGGGGTAGTGGTGGTGCTCAGAATTCTCCGGGGTGGGGTGGGGGGCGTGCGTGCGTTGCGGACACCTGCAGGACGGCGCTGGTCTCGTTGGCGTCGCGCAGCAAGAAAACCGGGAACCCAAAGTCCTCGAGAGCCAGGCCGGTACCGGACGGGTTCCAGACGGTGCGACGGCAGTGGGCGTAATCCGTGTCCTCGTACATTCCTACAGAGACACACGGGGGGGACACAGAGACACAGTGTCCATGTACACTCCTACAGAGACACAGGGAGACAAAGAGACAGTGTCCTCGTACATTCCTACAGAGACACACGGGGGGACACAGAGACACAGTGTCCATGTACACTGGTACAGAGACACAGGGAGACACAGAGACAGTGTCCTCGTACATTCCTACAGAGACACACGGGGAGACACAGAGACACAGTGTCCTCGTACATTCCTACAGAGACACAGGGAGACACAGAGCCCATGTACACGCCTACAGAGACACAGGGAGACACAGAGACAGTGTCCTCGTACATTCCTACAACGACACAGGGGGACACAGACACTGGCACATCTCTGACGCATGGCGATCGTGACTGGCACACTGCTGATGTAATACTTCCACCCCCCCCCCCCAACTCCTCACCGAATTTGTCGTTGGGGCAGGAGAGGTCATGGGAGAAGTTGGCGGGAGCCAAGGGCAGCGCCTTCTGGTGCAGCATCACCACGACGCCGGCCACACGGCCACGCGCCACCTTCAGCTGCATCATGGTCTCCCTGCGGACACGAAGAAAACAAAGATCCCGACTTATAGCGGTGACGTCACCACGGCGCTTGTGCCAGGCCAGGTGCAATCCGAGGCCACGTTAAGTGACGAAGGCTCACTGCTGGCAGGAGGTCGCAGGACAGACCCAGGTGCCATGGGTTGATGAACTGAGATGACTGGCCGATGCACCACCATCTGTGCCCCCCTCATGTGCCAAATTGCTGTGTTTTAGCCGCCTGGCGCTCCGCTCGTTGTTTTGAGCATCACTCCTCTGCACTCTGCTGATATTGGAGGGCGACTGCCTCCAACTCCCCAGTAGCGTCCTTCACGAGCCTCCTCCATAGATACACACAGAGACAAAGATTCCCCGTAAAGACAGTAACGGACTGTTGGTGCAAGTGCTGTTAGCGAGCAGCACCTACGACACACGACGGGGTGGGTGGCCAGCACCACGCCCAGCCGGCCTCCTTTGTCTCCCCAGTGGGGATGATCAGAGACCACCACCAGGTACTCATTGGAGGCCGAATCGACAAAAGAGAAGCACAGGAGCAGTCCCGCTCCCCACTTTTATACATATGTAGTGCGTGTCTGACGAGACACACACTGAGATAGGAGGCACCACACTTTATTGTCCTTAACAAGTAACAAGGGCTACACTAAACCCCAACAAGGGCTACACTAGACCCCAACGAGAGAGAGAAAGGATCTCTCATACCCTGAGCCCCTAACACCGTCGGATCCCGCTTTCCCCGGCGTGACCACACACCGCCAGTCCTCCACCCCGCCTCTTGCCACGTCACTTCCGCTGACTCTCCCGATGGAACCCGAGCCAGCGTGACAGGCCCCTCCGGTCCCCATCGACAGGTAAGTGAAGATAAGGGAGTGCGTCTCCTCACAACAGTCACACCATATTGGCCCTTACACCCCAGGGACGCCATATACGTCCCTACACATGTAAGAGAGAGTGCGCCGACTAGGGGTCATAAGTGGTAATTACGGGTGTGGGAACAGTGTACGAACAACAGAAGACAGTATACACGCGAGTGACCACAAAGGGGGATAACTAGGCCAAGGGTCAAAGAGGGGATCTATCTGGAAGCTCCTAGAACCCGCGAGAGAGTTCTAGAAGAGGGGCGTGGCCAGGCGCGGGGCATGGCCACGCTGGGGGAATAAACAAGCGGGGTTCTGGGCTGTCGTGGGGGATCCGGGTCCCGGCTGTCGTCTTCGTCACCGCTGCGTCGTCGCTCGATAGTCAACCAGCTACCTAGTCAGGCGTCGCCGCCGTCGTCACTAGGCAGTCAGCGTTGTCTTCTGTGCTCCCGAGTCGTAGTTGTGTGTGCGCAAGCAAGAAAAGAATCCTCTACGGTGGTGTGTCTGGAGCTGTTACGTAAAAAAAAAATACAGAGACGCACACACGGATTCATGCACAAGGTCCTTTATCCTCCACTTCAAAGCCATCCATTGCGTTGCCCCTAATCCTCAAACCTCGCATCCCAGCCACTCCCTCCTCTCCAAGGGGGCACCACGGTGGCGAGATGTTAACGCTCTCGCCTGGTATGCAGGAGGTCGTGGGTTCAACCCCAACCCTGACTCCTGCATATTTAGAGGCTGCGTGTCTCTCTCCCAAGTGGTCGTTTGGATTTTTCTCCGGGTCCTCCAGTTTTTCCCTCCACATTTAGAAACATGCGTTTAGAGTGTTTGGCTACTGCTATCAATGTCCACATGATGACGATGATAAGACACTTCGTTGAGTTATCATTTTTGGCCAGGTCACTTCTGAAAAAAAATCTATATAGCTCAGTGTGCTTTACCTGGTAAAATAAAATAAGCTAAATCAGATGCGCTTCTGCGGCCGTCTGGAATGCTCTTCCTTGCAATATTAGGAAGACACTGGAGCTATGCGCTTTTAAATCATCATCGAGATTGACGAAGTCATTTCTTTAGAACTGCTTTTTGTGCTTCGATTGTTGTCCCTCCCCGCACTTCCAATTAGCGTGGGTGGCTACAATGGTGCGAAAGAAGTTCAACATACAAAGTTTTTGGTGTTGTTGTTGTCGTCCTTTAGACTTGAAGGTTGACGCCCCTGACAGAAGCTTTCCCGTGTCTCTTTCATGGCGCGAGACCCAACCGTTCAGCTGCGTCCCACCAAATCATCTATCCGTTCCCTTTCCATCTTCTTTCCCTCTTCCCGTCGCGCTGTCCAGGCTCAACCCAGCTTGGTTTAGCTTCTGAGATTCGACGACAAGCGGTGATGCTGCGATGATGACAACGAGCGAGCGAGCGGAAAGGACAGCGAACCTGGAGAACATGTAGTTGTCCAGCAGAGCCATGTAGGGCGAGTGGGGTCCGTCCTTCAGAACCCACGCCAGGTCTTCCGCGCTCGACACCAGGTGCAGCACGCCCGTGTCACCGCCCACAGACGCTGACAATGACAAAGATAACCCCCACAACCCCCATAACCTTTAAAAGACCGTTGAAGCAGGTGATGTTCAAGAGCAGCACCTGTTAAATTAACCCTTTCGTGTTCCGATGACGGACTTGTCTTTGAGACTCCGTTCCAATGACGTACACATGCGTACTGGGTGTCTCGTCGGAACGGAACCGGAAGAAAAACTGAAATCAAATAACTTCATCGGTACCGAGGCTCCCACAAGGCTGCGCGGGGTGGGTGGGGGGTGGTCTGGCACCAGTTTGGCGTCGGCTAGTGTAGAGTGGCGGCGGCCGTGCCGCTGCGGTTCTCCGCGATGTGAGTAACGGCGTTTTTAAAAACAGCGGCTCCGCCACGACTACTACTAGGCCTGTTCTCTCTAAACAGAAATGAACGCCGAAGCGCTCGTGCGTTCCGAGAACGGGACGACCCACCACCCTGCAACTTGCAGATACCTCGGTACGGCCGAGGTTAATAGACTACTGGGGTAAGTAGCTGTTAGCGAGCAGCACCTGTTTATAATCAGGGCTGGCACGGCACAACAGTGAAAGGGGTGGTGTAGGCAGCACTGCATCGTGCGCCGAGCCACCTTTGCCTCCCCAGTGCAGATGTTTACTACACACCGCACCAGGTACTCATTTGTTAAGGCCGATTCAACCTAGGGGAGGCCCAGGATCGGTTTAGATATCAGTGACTGTTAGCTGTGAGCAGGAATTTAACTTGGGTCGCCGGGTTCGTAGCGCAGTGTGCTAACCACTGTGACTCCGCACTCACACACATACACTCATACATTCGTTCACACACGCACATATATACATACACACAAAGACAAAGATCTCTTGCATAGCCTGAACAAGCTGTTGGGGCAAGTGCTGTTAGCGAGCACGTATGAAGGCCGGCACGGCACACCAAGGGGGTGGGTGGCCAATAGCACGCCCGGCCGCCTTTGTCTGCCAAGTGGCATTGTTTACGCACCGCACCAGGTACTCATTTGAAGCTAAGTCGACCTAGGGGAGGCCCAGGACCGGTTCAGATAATCATCACTGGTGTTGGCCGTGAGCAAGAATTGAACTCGGGTCGCCGGGTTCATAGCGCAGCGCGCTAACCGCTACACTACCGCTCCCCACACACACACACATTAACATACACACATTAAGAGACAAACACACACAATGGGCTGGACCCAGGACTCACATTGGCAGCCGATCTGGTGAGTGCCGTTCATGAGCCTCACGCACGCCGCCGTGTCCTTCAGCTCCACGTAAATCTTCTGCTCCACAGAGTTCCCGTGCACCCATGCTGCGAAAACAAACATCCCCAGGTGTATCCTTAGCAGACTGTTGGGCCACGTGCCGTTAGCGGGCAGCGCCTATGCAGGCCGCGGCAAAAGCGCACAAGGGGGCTGCCAGCACCATGCCAGGCCGCCTCCATCTCCCTCGTGCTTACGTTTACACATCTCACCAGATACTCACTTGAGGCCGAGTCGACCTATGGCAGGGCACGGCAAACCAAAAATAACAGGAAGAGCCGCATTTTTGTTTTCGAATTCGGTGAAAACAAAAAAAACCCTCAATATTTCAATGCACCGTGAATACGAGACGGTGACGGTGCTTTAAAAAATTAAAGTCACGGAGCGGTCCCTTGAAGAGCTGCGTGGCTGCTCCTGAGCGCAGGGTGAACTGGGCTTCCACGGTCAGGGGTCGGCAAACAAAATAACAGGGAGGTCCGGATTTTTCGCATTCGGTAAAAAAACACAATATTTCAAGGGCCGTCAATGGAGCCCTTAAAGATCCACAATACAGGTGTGTTCTGGGGTCTGATCGCGTAAATATAAAGGTGTTGTTAAACCCGCCACCACCCGGGCACGGCCAATTAGTAAAGGTTTATAGTCTATGGTTCTTTCGGTGAAAGTCATGTAGATAGAAAAAATAATAACAATAAAATAAATGTTGATATAAAGCTTTCGTGACTGCAGGGATTCATATTCTTGGTTCTTTCGGTAAAATCACGTAGAAGGGAAACAATAAAAAAATAAAAATATAAAACAATAAAATTCTCACGACGTTTCGACTGCAACACAAGCAATCATCATCAGGTGTGAAAACCACAGCAAGACAATTTGAAAAAAGTGCCGTTTTTTTTTAACGTTAACACCACGGAGAGCGATTTGGTAGTTATTCAGATGGACGAGTCCATCAATTAATTGATTGATTGTTCACGCTTACGGTGGCTTTCAGACCGCATCCATTATTTTCGTCTCCCCCCTCCTCTTTTCCGAACATAGATGGAATCGTCCATCTGAATAAACTGTCAAATCGCTCTCCGTGGTGCTAACGTAAAAAAAAACGCCACTTTTTTCAAATTTTCTTGCTGTGGTTTTCACACCTGATGATGATGATGATTGCTTGTGTTGCAGTCGAAACGTCGCGAGAATTTTATTGTTTTATATTTTTATTATTTTATTGTTTCCCTTCTACGTGGTGACTTTACCGAAAGAACCAAGAATAACAATAAAATAATAAAAATAAAATGAAGCGAATACAAAAATAATACAAATATCACGACGTTTCGATCGCAACACAAGCGGGTCGTCATCATGAAAAGTAAGGGTTTGTCACGTAAGCAAAACGTGGCCAATTCGTTACAAACGTGCCAATTACATAGCTGCCAACCCATACGGTTTATCCTCGTTTGCTTGTACAGGGGACATTGAGTTTTCAGGTCTAGAAGCCATCTACACGGCGTACAGCCGTTTCAATGACGGGCAAAACATGTTTTCCTGTCTATTTGTTTGTGTTTCTCCCTTGTGGTGGGACTTTATAGGATGAACGTTGACATTTATAAGGGGCACGGGGTGACCAAGAAGGGTCTGAATTGGTCTGTAATAAGTAAGGAGCCGCAGGTTGCCGACCCCTGACCTAGGGGAAGCTCAGATTATCATTGGCGGTGTTGTCCGTGAGCCAGAATCAAACTCGCTTGCAAGACAAAGACCCTCCTGTACAGCCTTAACATACTGCTGGGGCATGTGCTGTTAAGGGAGCACCTATGAAGGCTGGAACTGTGTAAGAGGGGGTGGGTGGGCAGCACCATGCCCAGCTGTCTGTCTTTCCAGTGGAGATGTTGAAACACCGCAACAGGTACTCATTTGAGACTGAGTCAACCTAGGGGAGGCCCAGAACCGGTTCAGATATTCGTCAATAATGTTGGCCGTGAATCGAACTCAGGTCTTCCGGGTTCGTAGCACAGCTACACTACCACACCGCTCTCCACAAAGACACGCTTGCACGCACACGCAAGCACATTGTGCAGTACACACCTCTATATCCGTCCACTGCGGGAAGAGGGCCTCCCCACTCCGTGCATGTCAGAGGAGTTATTCGAATATACCAGGGGTCGGGAACCTTTTTGACTAAGAGAGCCATGAAAGCAAAAAATTTGGAAATTTATTTCAGTGAGAGCCATATAATATATTTTAAAAGTGAATTCAACTAAATGTCAGTATAATAAGCCTCTGAATTTATTCTTTTAAATAATGTTGTTATAACACTCACCATTAATGCAACTTCTGGTGCTGCATGGATTTGCTGATGTCTTTGTAGTCGGGTTGGTACTTGGTGAGGTTAAGCTTCATGCAAGCGTTGAGGCTTTCATCCGTTAAACGTGATCGTAGGTTGGACTTGATGTTTTTAAGATGTGAGAATGACTGCTCACATGCATACGTAGATCCAAACATGGTCAATACAGCAATACTCACACGCTGCAGTGTGTGGTATGTGACAGGAAGCGCGTTCCAAGTTTTGAGAATCAGCTGGTCTTCGGGTTGGAGTTTTTTCATTTCTGTCCACATGTGCTTGCTCGCCAACTCCGCTTTCTCTCGTGTGATTCTTTCCAAATCTTCATTCAGTGACTTGAACTTATTCACCCACATGTCTGAGGCCTTCAGGTCAGCCACTTCTGCTTCAAAATCTCTGACGGAGACACCAGGGATGTAATTCAGGTCGGCTGTGTTCAGTGAACACTCGTTTGGATGGGTGATGAACTTAAAAAGACGAGTGTGCTCACGAAATTCTCCAAAGCGTGCTTTGAAGGACTGTAGGAGACTGGATGTGCAGCCAGCTAGCTGGTGGAGATCAAGGTTTTGAATGGGCTCACTTGCTGTGAATGCATCTTTAAATTGGCTCAGTTTTTCAAAATGTAGTAAACGACCTGTTTCAAGATCCGTGATGAAAAGCTCCAGCTTGTTTTCAAAAGCAAATACAGCTTGTTGAAGGGATAACACTGTATTTCCAATGCCTTGCATTTTCACGTTAAGCTGGTTCAGATGTTCAGTCAGATCTACGAGATAGTAAAACTTGAGGAGCCACTCGGTGTCGGCTAGCTCAGGATGCCCGACGCCTTTCATTTCAAGGAAAGTCCGGATTTCGTTCAGGCAAGCCGCAAAACGGCTAAGCACCTTCCCTCTTGACAACCAACGCACATTGCTGTGCAAAAGCAGACCAGGATAGTTATTTACAACTTCATCCAGCAGTGTTTTAAACTGGCGATCATTTAAGGCTCGGGCAACAATAAAGTTGATCACACGAATGACCAGCGACATCACTTCGCCAAACTGCCTGTCACACATCTGAGCACAAAGTGCCTCCTGGTGTATAATGCAATGGAAACTTAGGATGGGTCTATTTTCATGTTCACGGAGAAGCGCCACAAATCCTTTGTTTTTCCCCACCATACACGGAGCACCATCAGTACACACTGAGAGAAGTTTATCCATAGGTAGACTTTTTTTCTTGAGCAAACTCCATGAAAGACTTGAATAAATCCTCACCTCTTGTGGACCCTTTTAATGGCAGAACAGCAAGACTTTCTTCGCGCAGTGTGTCACCAACAGCATATCTTGCAATCACGCTGAACTGCGACAAATGGCTCACGTCTGTTGACTCATCCAAAGCCAGAGAAAAGAACGGCGCTGCATTTATGTCCTTCACTTGCGTTTCCTCCACTTTGTTTGCCATCACGATGGTACGATCATGAACAGTTCTTGCCGACAGAGGCATGTCTTGTATCCGTTTGATTATCTTGTCTTTGTTCGGAAGATCATCAAAAAGTTCATTGGCTACATCCAGCATGAACGTTTTAGCATACTCGCCATCTGTGAATGGTTTTCCGTTCCTCACTATTGCTAAAGAACCAGCAAAGCTAGCCGAATTATAGTCACCTTGCCGGGTCCATACGCGGAGTTGCTGCTGGCTAGCTTGCACCCTGCTCAGAAGCTCTTGGCACGCTTTCTTTCTGCTGTCTCCCGCAGGGTATTTTGATGCAAAGGTAGCGTGGCGCGTGTCGAAGTGCCGCTTTACATTCGACCGTTTCAACGATGTAATTTTGTCATTGCAAATTAGACACACCGCAGAACCCGCTCTCTCCACAAAGGCGAATTCTTCGGTCCATTCGTCCTGAAATGTACGATACTCGTCGTCTTTTTTTCTTTTCGCCATCTTCTTCGTCGAAGGGTTAGCTTTGAGCTAATGACCGAGCAGACGCAGTCTCAGACTGATTCAAAAGGGGGCGTTTACCTGTTTTACCCAGCAACGGCAAACGTAGGCCAGTATCATCCAATTAAAATAATGGACAATTGCTCCTGCAGCCCTGAACAGGACATGCACAGTGAAAAATCGATGGATGGATTAAAACAAGTGAGAATATTTTGTTTTATCTGCGAGCCATATGCAATCATCAAAAGAGCCACATCTGGCTCGCGAGCCATAGGTTCCCGACCCCTGGAATATACATTCGCCCAGTGGTCAATGCAGAATGTTAGAAGTGGAGGGGACAGATTACTGAGGACATACAAGTACAGTACACTCTAACATCTTATTGAGGGACTACTACTGTGTGGCATGTATCTTGGTGTGGTCTGGGATTGTTGTTGTTGTGCTTGCTACCTTGCCCAAGCTTGACTATTTCGCTTGGCTGGCCTGGGAAAGCCTGGGAATTCCCCGGGAAGAGCTAGAGTCTGTGTATAGTCGTGTAATGTATAGTCGCGTATAGCGTAGTGTATAGTCATGTATAGTGTAGTAGTGTATAGTGTAGAGGTGTATAGTAATGTATTGTAGTGTATAGTGTATAGTAGTTTATCGTCATGTATTGCAGTGTATAATGTATACAGTAGAACCTCTGAGATCGAACGCCCCAGAACTCGAACAATTCGGTGATCGAACAAAATTTTCCACCATTTTTTTGCCCCGGACATCGAACAAAAATTCGGAGGTCGAACAACTGGAAAGAACCGGTTTGGGCCGAGA